CAGGATGGTCTCGATCTCCTGACCTTGTGATTCGCCCATCTCGGCCTCCCAAAGTGCTGGGATTACAGGCTTGAGCCACCGCGCCTGGCCACTAAGATATTTTTTAAAAAATTACTTCTTGGCTATCCTTCTGCTTCCAGCCAAAACAGAGTAATAATGATTGGATTTGCTCCACACCTTAAAGAACTAAAAACAACTGGACAAAAATATATAAAACATGGTTCTAAAAACATTGGATATCAGTCAACGAAGGAGTGTGCCTCTGAGAAACAATAAATAAAAGAGGCTGGGTGTGGTGGCTCACACCTGTAATCCCAGCACTTTGGGAGGCTGAGGTGGGCAGATCACCTGAGGTCAGGAGTTCGAGACCAGCCTGTCCAACATAGTGAAACCCCATCTCTACCAAAAATATAAAAATTAGCACAGTGTGGTGGCAGGTGCCTGCAGTCCCAGCTACTTGGGAGGTTGAGGCAGGAGAATCCCTTGAACCCAGGAGGCGGAGGTTGCAGTGAGCCGAGATCACGCCACTGTACTCCAGCCTGGGTGAAAGAATGAGACTCTGTCTCAAAATAAGTAAGTAAATAAATAAATAATTCCTACAACTGCTCCATCTTACTACCTTACTATGAAAGTTTACAGGTCGTGGTGAAGGGAAGAGAAACGCAGCTGGAGCCCACTGGCCTCCCTAAGTTGAGGAGACAGCACTGGGAATCCAAGAGGCCCGCAGCAGCTAGAGTTCACAGAGAGTGTCGGAGAGGGCAAAGTTTGGCAAAGAGAAAACTCCAGAGGCATGTGGAGGGCCTCTTTTAGGTATTCAACTGAGTACCGATCAGCAGAGTCGTGTGAGAAAACTAATCAAGCAGAAAAGAAACACCCAAAAAGATTAGAGGAAACAAACCCTGGTGCATACATAGGATGAGAATGATGCCTATCCTCTCCAGCCAGAGGGAAAACCTCATAATACACAGGAAAAACCTCATAATTTATAGGGAAGAGGGTTTATAAGTCTTTTGCCTCACCAGTGGGGCAAAATTAAGCACACACAATGTGACTCTGGTCCCATCTAACAAAACTTACATGCAAACCCTGCAACGATCAAATCATTTCCAAGTAACTTAACTTGGCCAGTCTGATTTTAGCTATGCCCCAGAGCAAACCTAAACAATATTTTTATGAATATAGAATTATCTAGCATCCAACAAGGTAAAATTCACAATGTCTGGTATCTAATAAAAATTCACCAGACATGCAAAAAAGCAAGAAAATATGACCTATAATTAGGAGAAAAATTAATCAGTTGAAAAAAACAGAAAAAGTCACAGAAGATAAAATTAATAGACAAGGACAATGACAATGTCTGGGATGAAAAGTGCACTGGATGGGATCATGGCCGATTAGATACTACAGAAGAGAAAAGACGCATGAAGGCAAAGCAGTAGGAACCATCCAAAGTAAAATACAGAAAGAAAAATATCCTGAACAATAAAATGAACAGAACATGAGGGAGCTCTGGGAAAACTTCAAGTAGTTTAATGTCTCTGTAACTTAAAAGTCTCCAAAGGAAGGAAGAGAGGACACAGAAAAAAAATCTGATTGGGGCCGGGGTGCAGTGGCTCACGCCTTTAATCCCAGCACTTTGGGAGGCCGAGGCGGGCGGATCACCTGAGGTCAGGAGTTTGAGACCAGCCTGGCCAACATAATAAAACCCCACCTCCACGAAAAATACAAAAAATTAGCCAGGCATGGTGGTGTGTGCCTGCAGTCCCAGCTACTCAGGAGGATGAGGCAAGAGAATTGCTTGAACCCGGGAGGTGGAGGTTGCTGAGAACCCAGGAGGTGGAGGTTGTAGTGAGCCAAGATCGTGCAATTGCACTCCAGCCTGGCTGACAAAGAGAGAGTCGGTCAAAAGAAAGGAAAGAAAGAAAAGAAATAAAGAAATTCATAGATCCAAACACAAGAAACATGAAGAAGGGCCAGGCATGGTGGCTCACTCCTGAAATTCGAGCACTTTGGGAGGCTAAGACAAAAGATCACTTCAGCCCAGGAGTTCGAGACCAGCCTGGGCAACATGGCAAGACCCTATCTCTGCAAAAAATACACACACACACACACACACACACACACACACACACACAAATAGCCAGGCACGGTGGCATGCACCTGTATACCCA